GCAACATATCTTTCTTTCTTGTAATTTATTCCTAGGATGAATTTTCATAAGTAATTGATTGCAGGTCATGCGCTTTTGCCAAAGCTTTATGGATGAGCTATATCGGTATCTGGGACCTGAGCAGGTAAAATTTCCTCCTTGTCTTGTATGCCCTGCCATTAGTTGGTCAATGCCAATTATATTAAACATTTCTTAAATTACAGTATGATTTTATTTATTATTTATCATTTTCACCCTAGGATCTTCCTGCAGAAGATATGGGTGTCGGCCCAAGGGAAATGGGTTATCTCTTTGGACAGTATAGACGCCTCGCCGGTCATTTTCAGGTACTAATGGCATTCAATATTGACAAAATGCATATTGCTTCTTTTGTTATGTAGTTTATACTTTGTATCAAATGGAAAAATTGTCTTCTTAGGTAATAAGTATTATGTTTGTATTGTCCCTTGCTAGCTTCTTCCTGCTCAGACTTTATTATTTTTTGGAAAATGATAACCATGCTACTTTTCTTAGTATTCTTGTGCTCAAGTGAGTGATACAAGGTGTGGGGCCTCTTTACTTTTTTGTGAAATGGATGATGAGATAAGGGGTCCAACTTACCATTCTAATAGTGGTTCAAAGTGGATATCAAACTTGGAGTACAATTACCAAAATTTCACTGTTCAACCTACATAAATGGTGGCATTTTAATTTTCTATTAAGAGCTGGCTGCGTGTTGACAGCTAAATTTAGCTAATGTCTTATAGCTTTATTTCCAGATTTGAAAGCACCTGCTTTTTTGGTTCCTATAGTTATTTGTATTATTTCCAGTTGATTGTACTTGCAGTTTTCATTTTTATGCTTATGCAGGGAAGTTTTACAGGACCGAAGATATTCTGGTCAGGTTCCAGTCTTCGAACTGAAGCTACTGGCTATGGACTGGTATCTTATTAAATCTTCTTTTTTTTAATCTTGCAAATATCATAGAGTTTCATTGTATTTGACAACTTCACTGTTTTAGAGCAAAGACGATATTATATTGTTCTATACACATATATTTCTTAAATTTTCAAGAGAATAGACACAATATTATATTGTTATTGTCGCTTCTTGACTTATATTCTACTTGCAACGTAATGTTATATATGTATCTTGCTTGCATTATCTTTGATGCCATTTTCTTTGCAGGTTTTCTTTGCACGCCTTATACTTGCTGAGATGAATAAAGAGCTCAAAGGATTAAGGTCTTTCCTCAATCTTTTAAATAAAGAAGAGAGATCAATAATCCTGTTATTATGCTGCAATTATAAGCTCTACACTGCACCATGTCTTATGAGTTATGGCTATATCCATATCAACTCACAGTCTTTTGCTAATGACACTGTCTAATGTATTTGTGACTCGAATTCGTTCATGCTTTTCCCTATAGAGCAAGACTTAAAGCCCAGAAGGCTAAAAACAAGAATTGCCTGTCCTAAAACTGTATGTTGAGCTGTCATTTCAACATCATTCAGGCCTGTTGTCCTTGTGTGCAACATTCAATGCAGATAAAGTTCCTCATAGGATCAACTAAGTTGTTATGACATGCTTATTAGCCTGACAATTGACCTTAGTTAGTGCAGCTCTCTAGTGAAGGTGACCATAAGCAAAGAATTCTTACATAAAATTATTACATGTTAGAAACCCATCTTTGGTCACATAGTTTTATATCATTTTACCTCTAGTGAAGGATAAGCAAAGAATTCTTACATAAAATTATCATCCGTTAGAAGCCCATCTTTGGTCAAATAGTTTTATATCATTTTACCAATGGCAAGATTGTTTGCAATCATTTTACCAATGCCAAGATTGTTTGCAATCATTTTACGAAGGGCAAGCTTGTCTGCAATAAATGAACTCACGTATTCTTATCAAGCTCTGGAGGTGACCATTTGAACTACCTTTGGGAAGTGGAAGAAAAGTTTCATTGTTGTTCGCCTGGAATTTAGCACGAGAATGTACTTTTTTTTCCTTTTTTCTTCTCTTTTGTTGTTTTTTTTGTTTTTTTTTTTTGGGGGGGGGGGGGGGGG